TATATTTATTTGTGTGTCCCAGGGCCCCTTTCAGAGGTCTCAGGCGAAACGGCCGCCGGACCGGGCGTCTGCGGGCTGCCCATCCTCCCTCTGGGACTCGCCTGTTGCCTTGGTTTACCACTGTTGAGATGTGAGCCCTCGAACGAAACACGACTAGGAAACCACTGGGATGAACGAGGAGGATGGAATGGACGCAGAGGCTGAAGATGAGGAGACGGATCAGTCAGGAGGAGGAGGAGGAGGAGGAGGAGGAGGAGTGATGCGTGAGGAGTCGGGTTAGTCAGCTCGAACAAGTCAGCGGGCCCCGCCCATTTCCACCCGCCCTCCCGCTCCATCACAGAATCTGTAATTCCAGCACTACCTGATATTGGGATTGGAACGCTTTTCCCATCTACCGAACGGACGGCGCTCGCTCGCGGTCCCGATTCCGACGGCTTGGCGAAGGGAAGAACCACGCGGGCCGTTCAGAGGAGTGAGACATGAGGAGCAGTGAGGAGGGGGAACGGGACGGAACGGATATCCACGAAAGCAGGCACGAGCCTGGACAGAAAGGCGAGTGCCACGCTCGATCGAGTACGACGGTCGAGAATAGTGAGGAGGATGAGGGGGACGCGTGAGGAGGAAGAGCGAGGAGGCCCAGAGGCTTCCAGGTGGTGTTTACTTTCGGGGCTTTCGGGCGGATTCCTACTGCCACGGCTGAACTCCCCTCGGAAATATGATCAAATCGACCTGCTGGAGAGATCTGGGAGGGCAGTGAGCAGTGGGGAGAAGGAGAAGGATAATAATGAGCAGGACGATGGTGAGGAACGGGATGCCTGAGGAAGGATGAGGAGGAGAAGTGAGGAGGAGGAAGCGCAGGAGGAGAAGCAGGAGGAAAAGGAGGAGGAGAAAGGGAGGAGAAGGAGGAGGAGAAGGAGAGGAAGGAAGAAGAGTGCAAGTGAGAGTGGGTCTCGTCAACTATGTGCATTTGTCTTTCTTGACAATGGTTTTCTAGGGTAGCCCTGTGGAGTTGTATTTAGAATTTCTCTACTGAAAAAAGGGTGGACAAGGGGGCGGGTGAGGATGGGGGAAGGGGGGTGAAGGAGTGGAGTGAGAGGTAGAAACGTAGGAAGAGGAGGACCAGTGTAGACCCAATGCATCCATGTGGTACAACTTTACCGTACGGTGGTGTGCGGGGGCAATGTAGACCCAGAAGGCATCAACGATGTTGATTATGGGCCGTGTCCATCGGAAGACAGACGCCTGAAAATCTTCCATGGTGCCCGAACATCGTTCAAGTGACTTCAACGTATCGAATCAACGTGCCTGCAGCGTCCTAAGAGGTCTAGATCGCACTAGTTTGGACTTCAACACAGCGAATATACGCGTTTTCCCCGTCCTGGCAACCCGAAAGCGCGCGAGAACACCATCCCTGGGACTACCAGACGACTTCTTGAAGCTGTTGCATATGTTTCACACGACCGTGCGCGGCGGTAAAGCGAGAGCCACAGTTTGAAAAGGAACCGCCCTCCATCCTTGGAGTTGCTGCAAACTTTGAAGACGAATGTGCGCGACAATGAGGCGAGCGCCGCAATTTTGAGTACAGGCCGCCCCCCATCCTTGAAACCGTTGCAAACATTTACAAATGCGCGCGGCGCCAATGCGAAAACCACATTAAACATGACGGGCTGCCTTGCCCCCTGAAGGTGTTGCAGCATTTAGAACGATTGTGCGCGACACCATGGCGATAACCGCATTTTGAAAACAGCCCGCCCTCCATCCTTGAGACGGCTGCAGACTTGAAGGTTCGAGATTATAAGTGGCGAGGCGATTTCCGGCGAAGCGCCCGGCCCGCCCAATCGACAAGTCGGGGGGTGCGACAGGGAGGAATTACGTATAAGGGAAAGGGGCGGAGGAGGAGGATTCCCGACTGATTGTTCAAGTTTGTTCGGGTACTGTGAAGTTTCTAGAGACATCCTCTGCGGGGCCGCTGATGAGCATCTGGAGGCCTCTAGAAGAGGGGAGATATCCTCCTCTTGCGTACCCCATCGCCCTCCTCTCCCCGTCGCCCTTTCCTTTTCCCTCCTCCCTTTCCCCCTGCTCCACCTCCTCTTTCCCCTGGAACAAGAACTGCGCCTGCTCGTGCGGACTAGCCTTCCCCAACAAGCTGTGGTGAAGGGGCCCTAGCGCTAACTCGCGGCAAAATCAGTTGATGTTCTGGTGCAAAGTCGACTGGAAGGCGCTGGTGATTGCCCAGGAGATCTTCCCCAAGGACCGGCTCATGAAATAATGGGTGGACAAGATGAAGAGCGATTTCGCCGATGACCACACGAATTGGCCCGAGATCGGCTGCATGTCGCGGTTCCACCCGTACCGCAACGGCCCGTCGATGGCGGTGGAGCTTTTCATGAATGGCAAGTAGGAGGCATTTGCAGCCGAGGGGCTGCCGCAGAGGATCGGCGACGCCATCAAAGAGCACCACCACCAGTTCGTCGACGCAGCCCAGCAGCTGAGTCCAGATGGCCTGCAGGCGATGATCCCGCCCGTTCTCGATGACGCACCACGTACAGGGCTGCGACCTGATTGCGAGGTACCCAGTGGACGTGTGGCAAGCAGCAAAGAGGAAGTACTTCTCGCCGCGTAGCTGGTGCGAGCTTACGATGCGGATCGCGACGAACGACTTGGAGAACCTGCAGAGGGTCATGGAGGCATCTGATAGGGAGCTGCAGACCATCCAGAAGCCCGAGAGGAAGGAGGTCGAGAGGCTCCAGCGTCGTCAGGAACTGCGCGGGAACACGGGCACCCTGCTCGACGGCGCCGAGATTCTCGAGAAGTGCGCCGTTCCAGGTGGAGCGGCTAGCTCCAGCGGCCGCGCGCGAGGGCGCCCGCTCGAGCCTGCGGCTGCACTGGCGAGGGCATCTCGGATGCAGGCCAGCGGGGCCTGCGCCGACAAAGGCGCCGTTTTCTGGAGCACCGACAGGAGGCGCAAGAAGACAGGAGACAATACATATTCAGATGGACACAACACTACTGGGACGACGAGTGGAAAACGAGGACCCCACAGAAACCAGTAAAGCGCTCTCCTAAAGGGCCCCTCCTCCCGCGGGGCGACAGCGGGACATGACCAGCGTCGCAGACATGGAGGCCTTTGCACACGTCGTGACTTTAGTGGTATTGTTCGCTCCTACGTACACGCCGATTCGATTGGGGGGCACTGCGAATTACTATAATTACTCTTGAGAATTTGGATGCAGCGTATTGCAGCACAGGGCTTGCGTCGGACACTACATTGCAGCGTTAAGCAATCGACCAGCGTGTCGAGGAAACGAAGTGAGTCTAGAGAGGGAGGGGCTCTCTTAGAAGCGTCGGCAGGCCAACAGCCGCTCCCCCCGCGCTGACCTTTAGGGACTCGCACTCGCAAGGTAGCGGGTCTCCCGTGCGGGGCCTCTTCGGAACTCGCCCCGTAGAGCATCGGGGTGCGCCCCCTGCCGGCCTCGCGAAAAGTATGGTTTCGCGGCAAATTTCATTCGCAGGTGTTGTTGCAAGTCGCGCCCCACAGCTCCTTTTGCGGGCGTTTCGACGTTGACACCCCCCGCGCGGATGTCCTGTCCTGTCCTGTCATCCCGCTCCCCCCCTCTACTTCGCGAGCATCCGGCCCTTTTCCACTCGTCCTGAGGGGAAGGGGCACGAGGAGAGGGAGGATGCGCAGTAGGAGTTCCGATGAGGGCGGTGTCCAGACACACGTCCCCCACATGTCCTTCTTCGGCCACTTCCCGGGGAAATCCGTTTTGAATTTATGACCCCCCCCGCCGGTTGGGCGGCGCGCCTCGCGGGGAAATGCGCTGGTGCTGTTGGCGACACGCCCGCCCCCGACGGAGGAGATCGCGGGGGAATCCGGCGGCCACTTGGATTCATTTTCGGACCCTGCCCCCCCTTGCGCCAGGCAGTCTTTCGGGGAATCGCTTGCCGTGGTCGATCCGCGCAGCGTGCGCGGCCTGCGCGCGGCTTCGGGGAGCATCGGGGCAGCGATTCGGCACCGTGGGCGGCACCCGGGCGGGCGGTAATGGAAGGTGACTTCAGTGGGAGATTAAGGAAACAGGGCCCCCGCTGGCCCCAAAAGGGGCCCTGAAGGGCCCCTTGAGTGCCCTGTTCGTCACCCCCCAGTCAGGTCACTGCCCCGTTAAAGTCAACCCGTATGGCAAGGATGGGCAATTCCCCCGGGGATGGCATTGCATCCTTGCCCCCTCGGTCCCTCCTTGGCCGCTTCTGTTGGCCGCGCCCCGTTCGAAGAGCTTCGAGATGGCGTCAAGGCCCCCCCATCTTGCAACCGCTGATTCTCGCTTCGCCCGTCGGTTCCTCCTCCTCCTCCTCATCCTCCTCCTCATCCTCCTCCTCCTGCTCTTCCTCCTCCTTCTCCTCCTCCTCGTCCTCCTCCTTCTCCTCCTCCTCGTCCTCCTCCTCGTCCTCCTCCTCCTCCTCGTCGTCGTCCTCCTCCTCCTCAGGGCCCCATCTTCCAACCGCGGATTCTCATTCGTTTCTCCCGTCGGTTCCCCCCCCACGCCCCACACCCACCTCGGCCCTCCGGCCGAGAGGCCAGGCACCCCGGACCCCTCGCCCGACGACCCCCCCCCCCAGCCGCACAGGGAGCTCCGAGCGGAGCGTCCGAGGCCACTTCCCCTGGGCGCTCTCGTGCGCCACGATTCCTTCTCCGAGGGGGGAGGAGGAGGAGGAGGAGGAGGAGGAGGAGGAGGAGGAGGAGGAGGAGGAGGAGGAGGAGGAGGAGGAGGAGGAGGAGGAGGAGGAGGAGGAGGAGGAGGAGGAGGAGGAGGAGGAGGAGGAGGAGGAGGAGGGAGGAGGGAGGAGGAGGAGGAGGAGGAGGAGGAGGAGGAGGAGGAGGAGGAGGAGGAGGAGGGGAGGAGGGAGAGGAGGGGGGGCCCAGGAGGAGCCCTGGGAAGGACCCTGGGGCGCCCCAGCCCCCTCCGAGCCCAAAGGGGGGCCCTCGCCCAAGACGCCCTGGCTGCAGCCACTTCGGCCCAGTATCACACCCAAGCGCAGGCCCCCGCCGCGTCGCAGGCGCCCCCCCACCTCCGAAAGGGGCGCGCCAGCCCGCGTGTCAATACCATGTCCATGAGCACCTACGGCGCCGCCGGGCAGGAGTGCAGGAAGAGCGCGGAGAAGGGCAAGGCCCGCAAGGCGATGCCCGCGGCGCCCATCTTCCTGGAGAACCCGGACGGCGCTGCGGGGAAGCCAAAGGGTACGGGTACCCCCACTTCCCACAGCGGGTTCTGATCAAGATCTCGACGCAGATCCACCGGTGGCGACGAGACCCTTCCTTGAGACCCCAAACAGGCGAAAACTAGTCCAGGGTAGCAGTAGCAGTACCGTGTCAGGCAGGAGGGGAAAGAACCACAGACACAAGGATGCCCAGATTCCCAGGCAAATATGGGAAAGTACGCGAAGTGGAGGGAAGACGAAACCTCCAGAACTATGAAACATCTGGGGGAGCCTGGAAGGTGTCTCTATGTATGTATGTGTGTCTCCCTGGGCCCATTCAGTACTGTATTCCTTTCCCCGAGGCACGATCACCGAGGCCATCCCCTCCAGCTCCAAGGAGGCCCGGCCCAAAGCGGACCGTCGATCCCTGGAGAGGGGCTCCGATGGCGACAGCGACGGGAGCGCCAGCCAGCGCGCGGAGGACCGCGCCGCCGTGGACTTCCTGTACATCCGGCACGAGAGGGTGATGCTGCTCCTCCTCGTGACCTCGCTGCTTCTCGAGGTTTTCGGGGGCGGGCAAGAGGGGGGTATAATGACTACAGCGGAGGCTCCTGCCAAGAAAAAACGCCCTGCTTGCCTCCAGGGTGCCCTGGGGCTTCCTGGGTTTCGACTTGCAGTGCAAGGGGTGGCTTTCCCACGTCAGGAATCAGTGGACATCCTGGGGTCTCAGGGTTGAGTTTCTTGTGGAAGGTTTCTTGTGTTTGGGCCTCCACTGTAGGAGGGGGTGGATACCATGGCCAGGGCCATGCCCCACTCTTGGACGCCCCACTCTTGGACGCCCCCGAGGTTTGGAGTCGTCTGGGGGTCTGAGGTGGCCCAGCACTGGTTCTGGTCAACAGGAGAGTGGACAGTTTCGAGGGTCTGGATTTCGGGACGGCATTTTTTCCCCAACCATCCTGTGGTGTTGGGTCCTCGTTGTCCTCGTTTTGAAGAGACGGTCCCCGCGTCCCTTCCTTTCTTCCTTCCTCCCCCCCTCCCCCTCCTCCCCGCGTTTCACCCACGCAGTACAGCGCTTCGTGGCCCCATAGGGAGCTCCACCGAAGCCCCCAGTGGGACCGTCCCCATGCGTCCTGGAAGCCCAATTTGGCATTTCCGCCCACCCAGTACAGCGTTTCGTGGCCCCATAGGGAGCTCCACCGGATCCCCCAGTGGGACCGCCCGCATGCGTCCCGGAAACCGAAGTTGGCATTTTCACCCACCCCGTACAGCGCTTCGTGGCCCCATAGGGAGCTTCACCGGAGCCCCCAGTGGGACCAGCCGCATGCGACCCCCACACCCAGTACAGTGTTTCGTGGCCCCGCAGGGAGCTCCACCGACGGCCCCAGTGCTACCGCCCGCATGCGCCCCCCCCACCCAGTACAGCGCTTCGTGGCCCCATAGGGAGCTCCACCGAAGGCCCCGGTGCTACCGCCCGCATGCTTCCCCCCCACCCAGTACAGCGCTTCGTGGCTCCATTGGGAGCTCCACTGACGGCCCCAGTGCTACCGCCCGCATGCGTCCCCCCCTCCCAGTACAGCGCCTCGTGACCCCATAGGGAGCTTCACCGAAGAAGATATTCACAATTGCGGTACTCACAACTGCATATGGTTGGGTCCTGCGCCAGGATAATTTGTTCTGCCTGTAGGGGCTGCTTCTGGGACCCAGGACCGTCAAACGTGGATCTGATATCCAAAACTGCACTCGATGGACCCAGGGATAGGTCTGGGGACCGATTTTGAGCGGATCTGGCTTTATTCCTCTCCTGACCGTTTTTCTAGGGCCCCAGCCAGTTCTCACCCCACGGCCGCCTCCAACTCGAGGTGCTGTACAACGTCGTCTACGTGATGCGGATGCTGGATGGCTCTTCCGTGGCCGAGCTGGTGGCGATGTACGGTTTCCGCATCTCGACGCGCTCCGCCGAGGTCCTCTTCTGGGTCGTGTTCGCCCTGCAGCTCGTCTTCAGCCTGCTGTACTACGCGGCGGCAGGCGCGGCGGTCTGGACCAAGCATCCGCGGCAGTACCGCACGTTCGCCAACTGCGCCCTGGTCAGCATCGTCGTGCTGCTGCTGCTGGCGTACGTCGACAAGTTCAACCTGATCATCTTCTTCCTGCACCTGCTCAGCTACATCTACGCCGGGTTCATGCAGGGGCTGTCGGCCAACCTCCTGCTGCTGCCACAGGATGCGGTCTGACGCGCCCGGCCTCTCTCTCTCTCTGTCTCCCCCCGCGACGGGCGGGCCGCCCCTCGGTGCACGAGCCCTCGTCGATGCGGCGTCGGAGAAGGCAGCTCCGAACAAGTCCTCTGCGCGATGCGCTTACCGCTCCGCGCAGGCGTCCGAGCCGCTCAGAGTGGGGAGTTCGCGACGTCGGGCCACGGAGCGGATAGCACAGCACGGTGGCTGGGCTCCGCCGGCAAACCCTCTCGTGTGCCTCCCGGCGTTTCCCCTACACCCGTCGGCTGGGTTGTCTGCTCCTGGAGTGGCGGCCATCTCTGGGGCCGTCCTGGCTCCAGAGGGCTCCTGGGGCAAGTTTGTGTTCCCCCCTCCGTGGCCCTGGCATCGCTGGCGAGGGCCATCGAGGAGCATCCTTGATCATTTGGCGACAAAACCACGAACGAAACCGAAAAAAACACAGGGAATGGACGTCCGAGCGATGGCGAGTCTCTGAGTTGCGATAGGGGGCCACGATGGGTGCCACGACAGGGAGCCACGATGGCGGAATCGGGATAGGGATAGAGGTATAGGAGAGGTAGGTAAAGGGAGATATGGCTAGGGATGTCGGAATCTATAGGAATCGGAATGGGGATGGGGATGGGGACGAGGATGGGGACAGGGATGGAGCTGTGGCCAGGGGCAGGGACGGGCGTGTAACCTAGGGGTAAGGATATATAAGGCCAGGGATCTCCAGATAGGCATCGGGATGGAGATCGGGGTATTGATATCGAATAAGGGGAGGAGGTTCGCAAGGGCAGGGGGAGGGATAGAGATAGTGGCCCAGGGATAAAGGATAAAGGGGGAGGGATAGGGATCGGCCACGGGCGGCCACGGGAGGCAACAGGAGGCCCCCGCCACCGGGCAATTCCCGCTCCTGGCAGCCCGCCCATTACTTTCAGGAGGCGAACAAAACACAGACGCAATTAATCGTCGACTCCCAAGAAAATCTGGGAAAATATGGGAGGGGGGGGGAAGACGAAAACCCCCCACATATGGGAAAATATGGGGAACATTTTTTTATGTGTGTGTATATTCATTTGTGTGTCCTGGGGCCCCTTCAACCCATTACATTCGCAGAACAGATATTTCCGAACCCTTACCGACAAGCTGTTAAGGAAAGCGCACGTGTTCAGTTTTTCTCGCACGCAGTACCATCACCCGAGAAGCCCCGCGAGTGCCAACGCCGTGAAGTTCCCCGCAATCCAGGCCCTGGGCTTTGAAACATTATTTGCATGATTCAATACTGCGAATCTCGAAAGGCCTGAGGACAGGCCCCCACCCATTGACTACGGCACGGTGGCGGATATTCACTCATTTGTCTCGCGCTATCTTCTCCAGCTAATGGATCGCGTACTGCTTGTTTGGTCTTGGACAGTGACACCCTGTCGGGCTGCACCTTCTATATCGCTGCATATTCAGCTCGTCGCGCAGATTCTCACCCCTTTCGGTTCGTGTGATCACCCGCGTTTGTGCTGCGCAGTACTTCTGGTAACAGTGCAACGCCGTGGATCAATGCGGACCCTCCAAACCGACTGTCTGACGAGATTACTTACCAGCGCGACGGATCTTTCACGCGAGAGACTGGGCTTGAGGAGGAATCTGACAGCGGGATAGAAGATGGCTGTGAACAGGAGGAGGATCAGGAGGAGGAGGAGGAGGAGGAAGAGGTGGAGGAGGAGTGGGGAGACGCGAGGGAGGGAGGGATGGGGGACAACGCAGAAGGAGGGCGGGAGCAGGGAGTGGAGAGGCGAGCGAGGCGGAGAGCGAGCGAGGAGGGAGAGTGGCAGGGAGCATGGACGTGTTCAGGGGGAAGGGGCATGGGGGGCAGGGAGCATCACGGGAGCGTGACGTCTGAGGACGTCTCCCACGAATGCGGAATTGAAGTCGTCTCGCGCGGGGCTGCCGGAGAGCCGGCCGGCATCGGCCCCGGTGCGCTTGGACCCCGCGCGCTCCCGTTTTCGGGCGGCGCGGCTCAGGGGCCACGTGCAAGCAAAAGCGGCAGCGGCAGGCAAGCAAAAGAGGGGAGGCAGGAGAGGAGAGGGGGGGCGAGACAACGGTGCTAAGATGGGGGAGAATCGGCTGTCCACCCCATCCGTCGAATCTTCAAGAGGAAGGCAGAGGAAAGTCTCAGGCAGTGCTCGCTGCGGTCTCAGCAGCCTTCTTTGATGCCTTCTCTTGGCTTTCCTCGCTTCTGCACGCTTCGCCGGCCTTGCGGCTGACTGCGGCCAGCGCCTCAGTTGTCGGTCAGTAGCGAGGCGCAGAACAGGACAGCCCTTCGGAATCACGATCTTGCCGTCGTGGCCCTTGTCCTCCCAATCGGCAATGTCGTTGCCAATCCGGGCAGCCAGGACGTCGTCCTGGTCGTTGCCGTCGCAGCTCAGCGTCTCGTCAGAACTGTCGGCCAGACTTGACTTCGGCAGACGGCCTGGGCCGCGTCTTCGGCGGCTTTGGCGGCGGCTCGGACGAGGGAGCCAGCGTCGCAACCGAATCGGCGGTGTTCTGTTCAGCAGCACTCTTCCGGTCGTGTTTTTCCCATTGTGCTCTCTGCCTCTAGGCCTTCTGCCTGTCTCCGAGCTTCTTTGACAGACATCCAAGGCCAATGCAAATCCACGCCTCTGCGATAAAATTGGTCGCGGGATGTGACCAGAGCCGTGAGCGCAGCTGCTGGTCGACCTGCAGACGTTCCGTCAGGAGGTTGTACTTCGTCTATGCGTGCAGCTGCTGCCTGACCAAGCTCACTGCTCGTTCGGCCTGCTCCTGTCTGCTCAGTTCCTGGCGGCCTTGCGTCCGCGTCAGGGCCGGCACCTCTGCGCGGAAGCTCCTTTGCGAGTCCGTCAGCCAATCGCGTTCGACCGCGCTCAGGCGGCCCCGGAGCGGCAGAGCGGCCAGCTGCTCGGCTGTCGGCGGTGCTGCCACGATCGGCGTCGGCCTTCCCAGAGGCGGTGCTTTGCTGGTGGTGCCGGGCGAAGGCGGGGAGCGCCTCGCCCGTCGTCGCTGGCGCGCGGGGCGCGCGAGCGCCGATGGCTGCGGGTACCATCGCAGTCGCCAGATCCGCCGTGCTTTCGGCCGGGGAGCGCAAGCGCGAAGGTCTAGGTGGAACTGTGCTGCCCATGGTGTCTGGAGGAGCGGACGCAGGCTCACAGGCCGAAGTGAAGGATAAGGTACCCGAGCGAATCGGCGAGGAACAGTTTTGGACGCCGTCGGCGCGCAGTGCAGGCGTTCGAGAGGCCCCCTCGGCGGATCGCGTCTGCGGGGGTCGCGCGCACCTACTTCCCGTGCCCCCCCCGGGCGCAGCCTCATCATCCCAGCGTCTCTTGAACTAGATATACACAGAAAGACGTCCACATGTTTTGTTTTTCCCCATGCGAACTATCCTACGGTTATTCTCACATCGGAGGCTGCCTTCAGGTAGGGGTTTTACAACCCACGACGGCGCTGACGGTAATCAAGTGCGGAGTGGAGCCGCATCCCACTCGCCAACTGAGAAGGCTGATGGGCTGCGACCGCTGGTTCTGCGAGAAGCGCGGCGCGTCGACGACGGAGCCGGTGGTGGAAAAGCAAAGGGGACCGTGCTGATGGCACACCGCCTGCGAGAGCGGGGGCTGTCGGCTGAAGGGATGGCTCGAGCAGGCAGCGTGATAACGCAGAGGTATAGGTAGCTTGCCAGCGGCAGGGCAGAAGGCACCGGAAGAGACACCAGAGGACGCTCGGGCCGTAGCCGCGGCCGCAGCGGGCACAATTGGTGCGTCTGGGCGGGAAGACAAACAAAAGAGCCACCCCGCCGCCACCGGCTGCGGACTGATGCAGCGGAGGTGCGAGGCGCGAAGACGCGCGCCTGGAGCGCGCAGAGGGCGAGAGGAGGATGGTTCCCAGCAGCCAGAGGAGGGGCTCGGGGAGGCACGCCAAGGCGGGCCCCTAGTGGGGATGGGGCGAGGCTGCTCGCGACCCCCGAGGCTACAGGGAAGCCTTGGAAGGGAGCGATGCGCGAGACGGGGGACCAGTGAAAGGACGATGGCAGAGAAAGTGGCCTTCCTCCTCACCGCCGCGCCGCGCCGCGCTGCGGAACCACCAGAGGAGGAGGAGACGAGGGGTGCCCGCGCCTGCGGGGAGCCAGCTAGACGGGGAAAGGCGCTGGGGCCTTGAGGTGCGGATCGGGTGCCGACCTGCCGCTTGCGCGCGAGGGACGCGCAGCCGCAGCTGTCAGCCATGAAGTGGCCGCCGGGAACGACTTGAAACGGCCTCTCCTCCTTGTCCCCCTCCTCCTCCTTCTCCTCCTTTTCCTCCTTCCTCCTCCTCCTATCGCTATCGCTATCGCTATCGGCTCGATGTCCAGTTGGACGCAGCCGTCCGCGCGGCCGAAGCTACGCGCGCGCGCCCGAGGCGCGTGGGGGGGGGTCACCCCCCGACACATGCTCCCGCCGGAGGGGCGGGGGCCGAAAAGGACCGAGAAAACGGGCCCAGGAGTTTCGGGGACGAGGAAGGAGGAAGAGGGGGCTCATTAAAGGCCTGAAGAGGAAGGGAAAAAACCCCCGTGACGGCCTGCGCGCAGGCGGCGGCCCGCCGGCGGCGGCTCGGTTCGGTCAGGCCTGAACCGAGTCCTCCCCCCCCTCGCCCTCGAGGGGGCGTCCAGGATGGGGCTGGCGGCCTCCGTGAGCACTGCGGCCGTCTTGCCGTGGTGGGCGCCTGTCTCGATCGTCTTGGGCCATGTTACGGCCAGATCGGGTCGTCGGATCAGCGGCTGCTGTCCGACCAAGCTGGGGCAGACTGCCCAAAATGGAGGTGACGAAGTCGTCGAGGGGATTACCGTGGTCCTGGGAGAGGCCGAAGTAGATGGCGTAGAGGCTGCTGGCGTCGTCTATGATGGTCGGTCGTCTCGTAGCAAGGTTCTCCGTAGCGTAGAGCATCATCTCAGTATTCCACATCACTGACGGACCTGCTGGGGCTGAGGATTGCGCTAGTAGTGCTGGTACTTCGGCGACGTGAGCCGCGTGGAAGGTGTGGATGGCGAGGCGGGCGTGGTGGTTCGCAATCAATCGGCGTTCGGCTGCCTCACCTCCAAGGTTTACTCTGCCCCAGGGGTCCGTGGTCGTTCTGGAAGATGCTGCCGTTCTGTCGGGCGGGTCGCCATCGACTTGGTCGATCCACGTGCTGGGTGAGAGGTTGATCATCACTCCAGCAAAGTCGCCTTGTCGTATGTGCTGGTGGAGCGAGTCGAGGGCGTCGTACTGAGATGGGTGGTCGACAGAGTAGAGGTCATCGAAGGTCAGAGTAACCCGTTCCATCACCATTCCATTGTAGCATAGTCGTTGGTCCGTAGTGTCGAGCAGATCGTTCGGGTGTCTGTCAATGTTGGTGAGGTAAAGCAGAGATCTGTTTCTGGTCGGTGTCCGAGGGTAGTAGGCTGGTGGTGGTGGTGTAATCGCTGGTACCGTCGGGAAGAATGGCGGTGGTGATGGTGAAAGGTCAAGGGAGGGTAAGGGAGTGACGTCGGATGCGTGGGCAGGGATAGGGTGGTATAGTTCGGGGCGGCCTCTGCGTTTGTTGTCGGCTATGCTGGCTGCGTATGTCGCCTGATTGGTGGCCACGTCCTCTTCCGTGAGGGCAGGCCCTTGTAAATACCACAGGTGCCAAGACCGTCGGCAGCGGGCGACCGTAGTTAGATGCTTCACGAGCTTGGCGAAGGAGTGGAAGTTCTTGCGGCATATTCTGCACGATGTACCCGATGCCCAGTTTCGCGGATGCTCAGGTCGTCGGTGTTCACGTCCGATATGTATTGCCATGCCCTGCTTGGTCTTGGTAACGATTCCACACTCGTAGCAGATGAAGTTGCTGGCGCCGTTGTCGCGTGATGGCGTGGGGTCCGCACCAATGGGACCGTCGGGTCTGAGCACCTTGGTCAGCTTGTCGGCGTGGGCGCGGTCTTTGGATGCGCGGATGTAGTTTGTGACAGCCAGGTTGACGGAGTTGCTGAAGTGCTTCGGCGTGGCGCGTGCCCATGCAAAAACGTCGGAGTCGAGCTTGCTGGTCGTGGGCCAGCGCTGGTCGTCCAGGTATGTGCGCAGGAAGTCGAAGTCCTGGAAAAGCATGTATGTCCATGAGCCCTTTCTCCGTCGCTGGTTGTCAAGCAGTTGGAGGAGCTGCTGAGGAGCGTATCGTAGAAGCCGTGGTAAGTATCGCAGCCTTCCAGCAGACTGGTGGTGGTCGAAGTCGGGGATGCCAGTGTAGGCTACTACTTCGGTGGCCGTGAAATGATGAAGTTGCGAGTTAGCTTTGGGTATTCCAGCTGCCGTGCGATAGGGCTTCGAGTAGGCATTGGAGATGCGCTGGTGGTCAGTCTGGGTCAGTGCTGGCCAGACGTGGTGGTTGAAGGTTAATGAGGCAGTCGAGAGGGCGTGCACGTACTTGATCTTTGTTTTGCGGGGTAGGCGTCGACGTCGTAGGATTTGCCTCTCAAGAGCTCGTGCCGAAGCGTCGGTTCGTCGCATGCGATTCTGCACCTCGGGGCCCATGCTGCCGCTGGTGAGGATGGTGCCTAAGAGTCGGTGCTGGTCTGTG